CTCTGACACTAAATGTCTAAAAAGTCGTGAACCGCGGTCCCGCTGTACCTCAGCACGACAATAACAACAATCACAAGCAAAGGCGCCGCGCCAGCTAGCCGTCTTTCCGAGTAAAATATGAGCCAAGATGGCGCCCGCCCAGCGGGCGTCGCGCTGCGCGAGACGCGTCGCGCCAATTAGCACATGCGCGTCAAAAGCTCCGAACAAAAGCGCAAGCGCAACGGCTGGCAAGTTATGTGGCATCGTGTTGTACGGTACTACGATTAAACGACATAGAATGAATTTATTACATTTCTTCCGTAACTATTTTGACCGTAACGCTTTACCTAATAGAAGGTAACGCTGGTTGCATTTTCTAGGAAACCAGTCCTTCATACGACACAGACACCAGTCCATATGTATTTGAATTGTGGGAGGAAACCCACGTTAAAATATAAATAGCCCGCAACCACTGAGACGTGAGGCCATAGGCCAGCCCACTAAGCCTCTATGGCCTGTTATGCCATGTTAATTGACATGATGAAAAGCTTGTAAAGTTAGTATTTTTCTGTGTTAGAGGTACCTGCACATACTTTCCAATCCCCAACTTTTTTCAAATGATTCTCTGATTACATTTATTTGGCAGATGCTTTTATTAAAAGTAATTTACGTTCGAGATAGCAGGGTCAGTCAGTCCCTGGAGCAATTGGGGGTTATTGGTCCAATAGTGAAGTCACTTTGCCAACCAAAGGATTCGAACCAGTGACCTTCTGACCATAGATTATTAAAACACATAGCCATACATCACTCTTATACTACACTTGTGGTTTGTTTTCACTGGCTGAGAGTTGTCCATGGTTCCCCACAAAATGTGCTGTGGCAGGCATACAGAGTACAGGGTTATGGCAAGAATCAAGTCAGTGTCAGCTCAATATCACTCCCTTCCTGGTTTGTTAGGTCACGTCACATAGATAAAAGCACTGCACTGACCGGGTCAGCACTGCAGCTTAGAGAGGGAGTCCAGTTGTACCAAAAGCTTTCAGCCTGCTTAGTTCCTTCCTCCTGCTGAACTGAACAGTGGCTATTCTGTTCTATTCTATTCTATTCTATTCTATTCTGGGCTTCAAAATTTCACAATTTGTCTTTCAATTTACCTAATCTTTCAAGGATTCTCCATTCTTGTTTTTCTGGTGTATTGTCAGTTGCATATTTTTAAAAATCTGTGCAAATACAAGTGATATACACCGCTCTGTTGTACCACTGCTGTTTTGGAATATTTGGAGTCATCATTGGTCAGTTACAACAACATATACTTTCAATGATCCAAATCCAATGATTTAATGATTTAAAATCCGAATCCATCTTATATCCAAAATGGCACGATTGAGAAGCGTTCATTGTTGAAATAACAGTTCATTGTATGACAACAGGAGCTGTACTGTACTAACCTGAGGTTAGTGGTTAGTGAGGTTAGTGCTCCAGGTGAGGCTCGAACTCACAACCTCGGTTACAAACACAGCATGCAGGGTTCATAGTGTGATGCATCTAGCAAAGGCAAAGTTTTTGCTCCAGGTGAGACTCGAACTCACAACCTCGGCATGGCCCCGCTTGCACTGCTGTATAAGTACCGCGCGCTAACCGATTGCGCCACTGGAGCTTACGTATANGCACGTAGCGGACATAGCCATCGCAGCAGCCCCGCTCACCATCGCGGGCGACGCAAGAGCTCGTCTTGTCAGGCTCACTCGGTACGGCGGCTCTCCTCTGCTTTCTCTTTGTCCCTGTGCTCATCTGTGAGTTTGCTTAAGGGTTTAGACAGTGCAGTGTCCAGTTTGCTGTTGCTTATGCTTGTTAGCCGTCTGCTTAAGTGCAGATATGTGTGTAGGTACCTGCCTTCTTCCACATGCTAAGGTTCTGAGAAAGTGCTCTGTGGCAGATTATGTAAGAATCATGCTGGTCATTATGTCTATGCCTGTTGTGATTAAGTGCAGAGGATGTAATGTAGTTCTTATAAACAGTCATACTCAGGGATGGTAAATTTATGATATAATATTAGGTTTTAGTACTTGCAGGGATGATGACTGAGCAGAAGGTTATTTCCATTTGTGTTATGAACCTACTTCTAGAGAGTACATTTTATGAAAGTGGGAATGGGGAAGTGAATTATTAATGCATATACCGTGATGTTTGTATACTTAAGTTTCTTTTCGTTTTTATTTTGAGAAAGTGTTTTGTCTGAAAATTTTGCCATTGTTTTTCTTCTGTAACACACACTATGTGGGGCCCCTGTGCATTTCTCTGCGATGAATTTGAAATTGCTGCGGTGGCCTGGCGCGGTTTCTGAATTCCTGAATATCTTCCCCCGCTGAATGAATGAATCGCGCATTCTGGCCTGATTCTCGTGGGTTTATGATGGTGACCAATCGCAGAGGAGTCATCGCAGGAAAAGATCCAGAAGTTTTGAGGATGATGAGGAGGGTCACCTGATCTATCACAGTGGACACATGCTAAGAGCAAGATGTACAGAAATTATACCTCTTTCTGTAACTTTTTGTTTTATTTGTTAAGTGGAAAGACCGTTCTACTATAGTGTCTAATTGGGGGGATTTTATTTGTAAAATTCTTTATACATTAAAAAAAACTAAGGCATATATTATGTGGATTACACAACTACTGTTTGAAACTCTTAAGATTTTCTACAGTGATTGTGGCGTAATGTTAACTGTTTTGCTACAATGTCTTATGGACAGTCAGAACTACATTAGTTACACTTGTCCTGCTTTATTCTTGTGTGTCTCTTTCCTGAGGTATTAATTGCATGCCTTTTTCCCTGTAGATGAGATTGTGAGTACTTTAGGAGAAGGAGCCTTTGGGAAAGTTGTGAACTGCATTGATCATTCGAAGTAGGTGTCTGTGCTAGCTACAATGTTTTTTTTTTTCTTTCTTGAATAAACACATAAACATGCAATGGAGAGCAAAGTGTGAAGCCTCTGCCACAACTGACAATCTGAATTGTTGCAGTGGTGGTGCACGAGTGGCACTGAAGATCATTAAAAATGTTGACCGTTATCGAGAAGCCGCCATGTCTGAGATCGATGTCCTTCAGCAGATGAACTCACTCGATCGCGATGAGCATTAGTGAGTAACCCAGGCACGTCATTGTCGCAAAATTCCATTTAAACAGCGAGATTTCTCAGTTGTGCAATTATGGTTGTTTTGTAGTGCTTGTGTGCGAATGCTGGACTGGTTTGATCACCACGGCCACATCTGCATTGTGTTTGAGCTCCTGGGATTGAGCACCTATGATTTCCTGAAGGAAAATGGCTTCATGCCTTTCACTGTGGACCAGATCAGACTTATGGCAAATCAGATCTTCAGAGCAGTGCACTGTGAGT